TGAACCTGGAAACCATCATTCTCAGCAAACTGACACAAGAACAGAAAATCAAACACCGCATGTTCTCACTCACAGGTGGGTGTTGAACAATGAGAACACATGGACACAGGGAGGGGAGCATCACACACTGGTGTCTGTCGGAGGGAAATAGAGGAGGCAGTGGGGGCTGGGGAGTTGGGGAGAGATAGCATGGGGAGAAATGCCAGATATAGGTGATGGGGAGGAAGGCAGCAAATCACACTGCCATGTGTGTACCTATGCAACAGTCTTGCATGTTCTTCACATGTACCCCAAAACCTAATATACAATAAAAAAAAGTCCTACCAGGACTAGGTGAATATAGCAAAATCACAGAATTTAAGGTGAATACTATAAGGTCAATAATATATGGAAATACAGTTGAATAATTTACACAAAGTGAAAGAATGCAGTAGCATAAAAACCCTTGCAATATATGAGAGTAAACACCAGCTAGAGTACTATCAGTACCCTTGCTGTGCTCACACTACATGTATATACGTGCACTCGCACCATGCACACACACAGCATCTGAAGGCAGAGGCCTGGGCAAGACTTCAGGTGACTATAAATAAGTAGCACTTATTTTTATGTTCCTCAACTCTATCCTGTGTGGCTGTGCCTCAATCTTCAGTCTTTTTCAATCCAAGACTTGTTGGGTACAGGTTGTGCTGGGAGACTAAGTGAGGTTCAGGAGTTGATGTAGCAGCGTTGAAGTCTTTGGGACCTTCCATGAGTCATTTTGGTGCTGCAGAAGGGAAACAGCCTGATTAGAGTGATTTCACAAAACAAACAGGAGAAGAGGAAATGAAGATTAGCAGCTGGGAAACTCTTCACAGTTTTAAGGTAAAGAGGGTAGAAAAACTGGGCCATGGTTGGAAGAGAATGCAGGCTGAAGACAAACTTTAATTTTTTTTCTAAGATGGGAGAAGTCGGTGTCTTGATGAGAACGATCCTAGTAGAGGTGGAGGACTGTTGAAGTAACGTCCCTTTGTGAGCGAGAGGATATTCACAAATGCAAGAAGATTGGGCTTAGAATGGATAAACTCTCTGTGCTCCCCAGTGACAAACTGCAGGGCTACAGGCACAGGCAGGCTGGTGGGTGTGGGGGCAAAGCAGGTGCAGATTCTCTTTGGATTGCTTTTATTTTCTTTTGGAATAAGAAACAAAGAAATAGGGTGTTGGAGGTTTAAAGGGAGAGAAGTTCAGAAATTGTGGCCAAACAGCAGGAGAAAGCCGTGAACGAGATAAATATGGTAGGACATTGGGCCACATGAGGGCCCCTTGAAGTTAAAATGAGACCAGGCAGCATGGGTATGTGATTCTCTCCAGCTGTGCACAGCTGAGTGGGAACAGGTGGAGTAGGCAAAGCATTAGGCTTAGCCAGGGGCTGTGGTTTTGCCAGATAAATAAGAGGAATGGAGAAAGAAGCAAGGGTATGATTATAATAGAGTCGTGGAAGGGAAGTTTGATAAGGGGGAAAATGACAGGGATAGAAGGTGAGTGGGAAAAGGTGGTAGGAATCCTAGAATGTAGGTCCCCTGGGCTCTAAAGAGTTGTGATAATAACCCAGTGCTTGACATCTGTAGTCCTTCAGGGTTGTATACCAAGTGGTTTGGGTTTGTTTGCATAGTACAACTATGAGGTACTTAGGGCAGGTGGGGGTGGTGATTCCAGCAGCTGAGACAAGCTCCAAAGAGGTAAGTGTCTTACCAGAAGGTCATGCCTGGAGCCAGTGGGGAAGTGTAAACTCACTCACAGTTCTCTACCGGGGTAGTCTTTTATCCCTGCATGTGGTGTCTGCTCATGGATCACTTAGTCTTGTTGAAGAGATGGAAGGTAGAAGACAGCCTAAGAGAAAATGTAATCATGCATTCAATTCTATGGGGTGAAGTAGTATAAGGAGTTTATCTGTTCAGTAATACATACTGAACACTTAGCATGTACAAGACACTGTTATAAGTGCTAGGGATATAGCAGTGAACAAGACAGAAAAAAAATCATCCACTGTTTGAGGAGGCAGAGGCGCAGGAGGATCACACGAAGCCAGGAGTTCAAGGTAAGCCTAGGCAACATAGTGAAACCCCACATCTACAAAAAATATATGTAAAAGAATTAGCTAGGTATGGTTGTGTGTGGTCTAATTCCAGCTACTTGGGAGGCTGAAGTGGGAGGATCACTCAAGCCCAGGAATTAAAGACTGCAGCCCCTACCACTGCACTCCAGCCTGGGTGACAGAGTAAGACTCTGTCCCTTTAAAAAGAAGTGTCCTGAAGTCATGTGCTTCAGAGAAGTTTTAGAAGGGTTTCTCTGTGACTCTTCTAAAGCATCATGATGTGGCAAAAAGCACATTTTACTAAAAGTTGGGAAACTTATTTTTCTGCTACTTGTTTACTGCTACTACGTCTGCTTCTGACCTTGTTACTTCAGCTCACCATGGCTTAGTGGAGGTCCCCATCTATAAACTAAGTTGTTGTGGTTTTGAGAGTTCTACTCTGCCTAAAAGTGCGGTGCATTGAGGTCAGTGTTTTAGCCTAATGAAATTGTTGCTATAAATTGTCCTTACGCAACCTCCTGCTCCAAAGTGTGGAAATACACATCTTATTTTGCAGTGATGAGACCCTGTTGACATGGTGAGATGCTGCAGTAAAATGCATCAGAGTCATCCTCCATCTTTGAAACTCTGGGGAAATCTGAAAGAGAGACAGGCTGAGTGCAGATCCAAGTCCCATTGTTAACTTAATGATGTCTTAGATCTGTTAAAAGCATTGTAATAACAAATGAATCTTTCCCCTCTTCTTACTCCTTCCTGGTGGGATTTAGGCCTGGAGGAAATGCTGGTTTATCCTGCGGAGGGGCCAGACTAGCAGTGACCCAGATGTTCTGGAATACTACAAGAATGATGGCTCCAAGAAGCCCCTGCGCACCATCAACCTGAACCTCTGTGAGCAGCTGGATGTTGGTGTGACTCTGAACTTCAACAGGAAGGAGCTTCAGAAGGGCTATATGTTTGACATCAAGACCAGAGAGCGTACCTTCTACCTGGTGGCTGAGACCAGGGAGGACATGAACAAGTGGGCCTGGAGCATCTGTCAGATCTGCGGCTTCAGGCAGGTTGAAGAAAGCACAGGTATGGGAGCACACACAGCCCTCAGCTCCAGCTGCCCTCCCTTCTTGAGGGAGTTGGCTAAATAGTAGAGGGACCTTGGCCCTATTATGCTTGAATGAGACCAAGAATTGTTGGGCTCGTGATGAAACTAAAGGCATTTTTGGTGATTCTTCAGACAGCACGGCACCACTGCCGTCCTCAGTCCTCCCCTGCACCTTTGCCCTGTCACCTCTCAGCCACCCCTGGGGAAGACCTCTCCTTCTTCCCTCTGCTGATCCATCTCTGGCTCTTCTGGCCCACCTACTGTCTGGCACAGTTGCACTTGACCCTTTGCGGGTTTCTTTGGGGTGCTTTGTGATTCTTACTGATGTGTAATCACTTGGGAGGGGGCAGGTGAGAAGCAAATACAGACTCATGCTTGGGTTTTGATAACTTTCGCGAAAGAGTAGTTCAGCTTTTTGAAGTGAGTTTTAAGTTGTAAAAATACTCCTTCATGTTTGTTTGGGGTCATCTTCTACTCACCAGGAAGTTTGAGGAGCAGGGTTTTTTTTTTTCTGAGGCAGTGTATTGTCTAAATTGGTCATTCTTGAACCTGGTTGCACATGAGAATTAAGGGGAAATGTTTCAAAAACGTTGATGCCAAGGACCTGTGCCAGACCAGTTACCTAAGAATCTCCGAGTGGCGACCCAGGCATCAGTGTCTTTTAAAAGCGCCACTCTTTCCCGCTGTTTTTTGGGAGGATAGAAAAGAAAAGCTTCATTTTGAGTAGCAGGGGTCCAGGGCCCAGCAGATACTTCCTGTACATATTTTAGATTTTGAAGGCCATATACAGTCTCTATTTTATATTCCTGTTTATAAAAATATTACAGTCCTTTGAAATGTAAAAGCTATTCTTAGTTCATCACCATCAGCATCACCTGGGAACTTGTTAGACATGCATATTCTTGTAAGAATGTAAGTAAGTAAGTAATTCTTGTAAGTAAGTTTACGCCCCACTCCAGACTTGCTGAATCAGAAACTCTGGGACAAAAGACAGCAGTCTGGTTTTAAAAACTCTCCAGGCAAGGTTTATTGCCAGAACTGCTTTGAAAGGATGTTTCTGGAGCTACAGGCCATTTGAGAGAGCTGGCTGGTTTTATAGCCGTGGCTTGGTGCTGTTAGAATTGAGCTCCAGGTTTGTGTTGCATGAGGGCCCAGCTCAGCCTAACCCCTACTTCATCTTGTTAACTGATCTTCATCTTATTCACAAAACTTCTCTGACCTGACCATCAGAACAGGCATATTTGGATTTTCATCCCAGAGAAAATTCTTTTATTCATTTAAGTGCATTCACTCAACAAATATAGTCAACACTCCATATTGGTGGGTTCCACATCCATGAGTTCAGCCAACCTCAGATGGAAAATATTAAAAAAAAAACAACAAACGATGGTTGCATCAGTACTGAACATATACAGACTAGTTTCTTGTCATTACTCCCCAAGCAGTACAGTGTAATACCCATTTACACAGTATTTATATTGTATTAGGTGTTGTTAGTATCTAGAGATGATTTAAAGTCTGTAGGAAGATGTGAACAGATTATATACAAATACTGATCCATTTTGTATCAGGGACTTGAGCATGCACAGATTTTGGTATCCACAGGTGTCCTGGCACCAGTCCCCCGGGGGTACTGAGGGACAGCTCTATGCATTGAGCACCTACTATGTGTTGACACAGCTCTGGGCATTGGGGATACAGAAGTGACTAGAAGGTGTTCTGTGTACCTTACAGCATGCATGTGTTTCATCCTCATGACTACCCTGTGTTGATGCATAAGTGGAGAGATGGGGACTCTAGGGTGGGAAGCAGCTTGCCCCCAGGTCTGCATGTAAATGGACTCTGGGTCATGGATAGGACTCTACTGCCTGATTGCTAGACCGGGGCTCTGGAGGTGAGGGTGGGTCACTCACCCTCATGCTCACAGCCCACACATTCAACAGGGGGCATGAGGGATGGATGGGGTCCCAGGGCAAGGTGAGTGGGTTGTGGAAAAGTGGCCTTTCTTGCTAGACTGAGGAGCCTGGACTTTATTGGGAGGGTGATGAGGAGCAGTGAAAGTCACCAGGGGAGTAGTTCCTTACTATGCCACATCCTTTGTTTGATCAACACATATTTGTTGTGTCACACACTGGGGTTGATTCTGGGAACAAAACCATTTCAAAAGAGATGGAATCTCTGCCCTCACTGAGTTTTGAGCTGAATGTATGGGGTGATGAGAGAAAGGTTGGTATTTTACAAGAATTCCATTTGAAACACAAGGAAGTGTTGCTAAGAAACTGGTTGAAATAAATACTTACATGGTTTTAGGAAGAGAGAGTGCTATGTGAGTCATCTTAAGGATGCAGGGCACTGTGGAAGTGCTTTCCGTGAGCAATGCCATGAGGAGAGGACGTGGTTGGTGAGAAACAGGGAAGAGTCACAGTGACGCCAGGGCTCTGGCTTGGAGAGTGGAGTGGACGGTGACACTGATGTGCCTCACTGAGAGGGAACATAGGTGTGTGAGGGGTTCACTTGGAGCGTCGGGGACACCTGCTTGTGGGGTGTCTGCCTTGTGACAGGGAGCCGCGGAGAGGCCTGAGCTGCAGGTTCACATTTGAGAGATTCCATCACTTAGGTGGTCCCGGGGGCTGTGGAAGGACAGGATCACCTTGCATCATCCAGAATCAGGGTGAGGCTGAGGAGGGTCTAGAGAAGAACCCTGAAGAATAGCCCCATTGAAGGCAGAGGGAGCAGATCCAACAAGATGGCAGGGGCAGAGGCTCCACGGAGCTTCCCGCTGTGCCCTTTCTGTGTCTCCTGTGCCACGGCTGTGTTCATCTCTGCTGCTGTGGCTGCTCAGTCCCCTAGCATAGACCCTTTCTCCTCCACTGGAAAAGCATTCATGTTGCAGGTCTTTTGGAGTTACAAGGCCATTGATTCTGTTAGCAGACATCTCACTCACCTGGAGACCTGCATGGGAGCTCATCTTGGAGTGCACATACCTGTCAGCAGAGCCATCCTTCCCAGAGCCCTCCCAGATGTTTCTGTTGCTCACTGGCAGCACTTGTCCTGCCCAGCATCAGAAACAGCTGGAGAGGAGTAGGCACTCCAGGGGAATTAGCCAGCTGGGGCTCCTGCCTCAGGCCATGAGGTGGCACAGCCAGAAATAGGCCAGATAGCAGGGGGCAGAAAGAGAACTCTGCCCCCAGGCTGGGCGCGGTGGCTCAAGCCTGTAATCCCAGCACTTTGGGAGGCCGAGGCGGGTGGATCACGAGGTCAACAGATCGAGACCATCCTGGTCAA